TCAAGGAACTCTGCAGGCCATCAACCGTCAATTCCTTGATGTCATTGGATTCTTCAATGGCGCAAACAACATACGTGAACTTCTCCACCAGAGTTCTCAGAATTTTCTCCACCACCTTTGAATCTGGCATTTCCTCTCCTAAGTTTCTCATGTTGTTTGCTACTTCCATCACTCTTGAAAAGTAACCTGTGATTGATTCTCCAAACTTCATCTCAAGCACTTCGAAATCTCTGCGTAGTCTCTGCAGCTGGGCACTTTGAACTCTGTCATTCCCTTGATACTTCCTCCTCATCGATTCCCATAAATCCTTTGACGTTTCTTTCTTGAGGATTGTCTTAAGAATCGTCTTATCAATCGATGCGAACAGATAATTCTTCACCTTATGATCCTTCACCGTCTTCTCTGCCAACTCCGTTCTTTGTGGTCCGGTCAGGATTACATTTCTCTCTGGTCTTGGAATCCCTGTCTCGATAAGATCCCACCACTCTTTGGATCTTAGCAAGTTTTCCATCACCATTGCCCAGTGTTCGTAGTCTCCATCGAACCTTGGAATGATCAGTGTATCTTTCTCACTCATTCTTTTCACTCACTCGTATCAGCCCTTTAACAGGCTCTGATACCACTTGTTGGTTTCGTAATGTATTCAGAAAACAGAGGAAGAGAAAACAGAGTATCAGAACTGAATACTTTCGGATAATTTTATTTAATAAGACGATGTCTTTTAAATAGGACTTTACACTAAGCACCAAATACCGGATCAACCGGATCTTAACAAGAAATAGATTCTCAAATCTTACGTGCATTGACTCCTACATCTCAGGAGACTTATTCAAACTTTGAATCAATCAATTTAAGCTAAACGACATAGTTTATTCTTCAAATATAAGATTTCGAGTTTCTCTATATAATTGGTGTGTTGTGTAAAACTCCATCAGTAATTGTGGTAAAATTATTAAATTCCATATGTTTTTTTAAAGTGTTGTTTAAAAAAAAATGTTTTAAATGTAATTTCTTATCTCTTATTCAAACTTGATATTTTAAATTTATCAAGTTTAATAATGATATATTAATTAGATGCATTTTAATATTTTGAAAATAAATATTTAATTCGTGTGAAATGTGATAAGGTAACTCTTTTTTTTTTAAGATAAAGTATTATCATATAAAAATAACTTACTCAACAAATATATATATATATATATATATATATATATGTGAAAGTTGAGCTGAAGAAATTCGAGTCAACACTTCGATAAGTGACGAGTAATCTAAAGATCAATCTAACGTGGACTGGTCCACTGGTGGAAGATGGAAGACCGTCGCGAGGATTGGTGTGGATCAGAGGATGCATGGTATCCATATTATTAGTATTTATTAGTTTCATTGATTGTTATTTATTACGAAAATGGAATATTTCTGCTCGTGTCAAAAAAAAATGGTTGGACCGAGTAGGTGGTTTCATTGAAGAAATGGAGACCATAGCTACGTAGACAACTTCTTAAGCACATCTTCACAGTTTTCCTTTGGTGTTGCAAATAATTATTTGCACCTTTAAATGTGATTGCGATTTGTCTTTATATAACTGATATTAAATTAACAGTTTGATCTTCTTATTGGTTTCTAGACATTAAGAATAAAATAAAAAGTTCAGCTATAATTGATTATTAACACCTACTGATGAAATCTAACCTAGTTGTTGTATGGTTAAGTACATTTTATTAGAGAGCCTTAAGAATGGTTTGTCTAAATGAAATAGAGTGCCGTGTCAATTTTCAAAAACTATGAAATTAATAGCACGTGCAGAGAAAAACAAAAGTGAATATATACGTAGATCTAGTCGGCAAGCGAATTATTATTCCAGGATGATCTTTCTGTTATCTTTGAAAATGAAACCGAAGTAAAAATGATTTGATTAGATGACCCAAAAAAAATTGATTTGATTGATGGTATTCTAAATGCAAGGAAAAAAGTGCATTATTGAAAGTTTCCTTTTCTTATATACTGGAAAGTATATACTAGCCAGAAGCAATTTGTAGGTCATGAACATAATCATAGAGTTTTTCATTCTGAAATTTTAATTTCTGTTTCTATTTCTCCTTAATTGTTGTGGTGAAATTGGGTATTTAAGAATGAATATGAAACGTAGTAGTAGGTTCAGGACCATTTTGCGTAGCCACTGACGATAGTCCTTCTTACATATTTATGTTTAAGTTGGGTGTGCACATAAACATAAAACATACATAATTAATTATATATAGAGTATAGGTGGAGTAGGACCAATAAGTAGTCAGAATATAATATGCATAGATCATGATAAGATTGCGATGTTTTTTGCATGAATCATGATTAATCAATGATGTTAATACACATGCTTAGCATAATCATCACGATTAAGTATCATACACAATGATATTAAAATAAAAATCAGAAGCAGATTAATTATACATCACTGAAATATATTCGCATTCAGATTGGATGATACATTTTTTTTTATTGTATGATACGTTTATATAAGGTATACAAATACAATACACATTATTATATAATATAGATATATTTTTGAGGATATAATATACATAAAACATTAGTATAAACACATATACTTTTTGGTTTAAAAATATTACGATGTATTTGAAGCCATATAAGACGAATAGTATATAGCATATTGTTCTGAACAAAACCAACATATTCAAAGTTCAAAATTACTATTTAAAAAAAAAAAAACAAGAAGTCGAACTTTACAGTGGCTAAGCTAATTCGTTTCCCATTTAAGTTTATTAATATAACTACAAAATATTATCACCAAACCAAGAGTTATTATCTAGGATGAGAAGATCAACAATTTTTCTTTTTTATCAACAATTTTTTGTTTTCTTTTCGTCCATAATTTTGTTGCTTTAACGTCGGAAGTCAAAAGTATGGGTCATACTTGCACAGGCGTGAACCAAGACTCTTCTCATATAATTTCTCTGGCTATCATTTATATATGACGAGACAGGTTGGTGAGTTTTCGGTAAAAAGGTACGGAATGATGGATGTTTGTCTAAATCATTTGAATGATCTCAATAGTAGTATATAGTTTGGCATTGAATTAACGTTTCTCGATTTTGTAGCTGACTGAATACTGTAATACTCCTAGTATATAATTTAATGTCAGCTACTGTCTTTTTCCATTTCTGTAAAATAGTCATTAGCTACCTCTCTTCCTTTCATTAGCTAAAAGAAGAAAAAACAAGTTAAATAAAAAAAAAAAGAAGAAAAATCTCGTCAACAAATCATACATCATTGCATATGTAAGGAAATATTATTTGAATTACTGAAACTAAATCGTAAATTATTAATAGTGTGTATATCACAAGATCCAATACGTTCATGTTTTCTTTTTTTTTGTAAAAATAGTCAATATAAGTTTGTTTCTTGTAATAATAATTGACTGTAAAGTGGCGTTATTTAGCCTCCACGTGTGCCCGCGTGGCATATGGGTTTGCTCATTTGCTGCAGCATTCAGGTGGAAGCATCTTGTCTTGTGGTTCAACATATATGATTCTCCTCGCAACCTGTGAAACTCACACAACTTATATAGTACTGTCTTTATACTTCTTGACAAAAACCATTACACTTCTCTGTTCTATAGCATGTTTTAACCAATAACCGCGAACCAATATGTGTTCGGTTCGTTTCTGGTTAACACGTTTCTCTAAACTGAAAAGGAAAGCCCGACCGGGACCGAACTGAAAACCCACTTTGGCTAATTACCTCGACACTGTAGTTGTAACTTGTACGTATACACAAACAACACATGCGTTGTCCTAAACAAAAACTAGGGATGGACCGGCATATTACACGTACCACACACCACGTTTCCGATCCAATTAATTCAACTTCCTAAATAAAAATGAAACAATAAATTCTAAGTCCCAAAAGTACCCTAACAACCACCAAAATAGCATACCTTAGATGCGCAATAAGTTTCACCCATAATACGCTAAATACGATAACTTGACCCATAGTATTCAAAATACAATGATTTGTATCGAATCAATGTACCCCCACATATATTGTATCAACATTTTCTCCGTTCATGATCCTAGTTTTCAAGCTGAATATAATCCGTTATCTCTCGGTATCAAATACTCAAAATTCAATTGTTATTCGAAGAATCTCGTTCTATTTTCTCTAAACTCTGTAGAAATGATATAATGTGACAATAACAATGACAATAATCGATCGTAAACGGACCCCTCCCTCTCTCTCTCTCTCTCTGTGTCACACACACGCAAAACTGCTGAGTCTTGATTGTCTTTCACTCAAGATGAAGATGTTTCTGCTTCTTCTTCTTCTGCAGAAGCTTCTTCTCCTTCAGCTTCACGGGGCTTTTCTGGTCCGGGTCCAGCTGATACTTTCACCATCGAAGGACGTAAAAGCCTTTCGCCTAGCAAGAAACCTTTCCTATATTCTTCAAGTACTATACCCTCTTCGTATTCCGCAGAATCTTCTCTCATTATTGCCTCGTGAAGCTTTAATCACATCACAGAGAAAAAGCAAAACGATAAAAGAGATGTCAGCTTTTAGAACTTTGGAAAGGCCAACAAACAAAAGGCCTTAAGGTAAAGTTAACTACCAACTCACTGAAACCCACCACCACTCGGTTAAGACTCTTAAAGACTTTACAGAGATGTATCCTTAGTACTAGACACATGGGCACTTATGCTCATCAAACTTTGTGATAACCAAAACGCATCTCGCCAGGACAAGGATATTGCAAGCCTCATAGATTCACTGACAATGCATCATTCAGGCATTAACTGTTCCATTGATTCTAGCCATCTTTCAAAGTAACAACCGGATCTACGTTCTGATCAAGATTATATCGGCAGAACTATGCCAATGAATTAATCCTAATGCCAATCAATTTTGGTTAGGAAAAATAACCTCCTTAGTCAAAGATTAACACCATGAGCAAGCACTAAGCAGAGCAACAACAGCTTAAGATGTATATATTAGTAACTTACCATCGGATCAAAGAGCTTGCCCACTGTCTCCACAGTGACAACACCAAGCGAGCCAAGAATTTCTACAAACTGCTTGTATATGCTCTGGTAGCTGTTGGTGACTTTCTCTTCTCCCTCAGTCTCCACCTTAATTTGGGATTTAGCTCTCTCGAAATTATCCAAAACAGCCAAAAGATTCTCCACGACCTCTCCCTGAGCATTCGAAACAAGGTTTAGCCTTTCCCTCTCCGTCCTCTTCCTGAAGTTGTCGAAATCTGCACTGATTCTTATCAGCCGATCCCTCTCCACCGATAGTTCACTAGACAAAGAGGCGACTTTGTCTTCAAGCTGAAACTTTTCATCTTCAATGGACTTTAGTGATGCTTCTATCTCAGCAATCTTCCCTTCGTTGTTCTCTGCTAAAGCTTCTTTATATGAATTCAACAATGCTATGGTAACCGGAGCTTCTTCTTCCTCAGCGCCAGCGTTTTCACCCTCAGCACCATCAGTCTCCTGCTCCATGATTTCACAAGGAAAAGAATTAGATGAAAGCAAACAAATTTTACATCAATGCCTGATAATCTGATACAAAACAGAATCTCAACACACACACACAATGCCAACACAATCTATTGACCTAAAGTATCACATTAACAACAATAGCTTTGGAACATTCTCTGTGGCCTAAATTTGATTTGGACACTACACAATGGTCCCAAAATACTATCAAATGCTCTTATTCGCGTGAACGTTCCTTCAGATGGGTAATAGAATCAACAAAGCTTAAATTATCGTATCCCATGTTCTAAGATCCAACACAGAGTCACCATGGGGATTCAATCTTAAGTGCATAAGTATCCAAATTTCGAAACCCTAAAACCTAATCACCCAAATTTACATTCAACAAAACCAACTCAATAAGAGTAGACAGAAAGTGAGTCGAAATCGGAAAAACCTGGACTTCGGGTTCGCTCGATTCCACCTCCGTCTCCGTCGTCTCGGCTTCTCCAGATGCAAAAGGTACGAAGTTCAGTAACCGGAGAGGATTGCCGCCAGAGACAGAGCGGAGAGAAGCTCGGCGAGAGAGTGAGATGCTGGTGTTCCTTGCTCCGGCGAAGGAGACGCAGAAGGGCTTAAAGGGTGCAGAGGGCGCATGGAGAAGAGTGGGGGTGAGATGTAACGACGGCGTTTTGAGTAGACCGGCCATTGGAAAGTTCGGTGAGAGAGAGAGAGAGTGGCGGAGAGGGATAAGGAAGAGAGAGCGCAACAGTTCTTCCTCTCTCCGTCGGATGTAATTTATCTCTTTCTTTTGTTTAGTTTACTCTAACCGTTGGATGTAGTTTTGCTATGTTGATCGGACGGTCCTTGTTTAACAGGAAGTATGTAGGGAGTTCCTAGATTTTTATAGACAGTCACAGGAACTTCCAGAAGTTTGTACTTTGTAAATGTGTCTTCTTGTCTATATACTCTCTCTAGTTTTTAAGGCTTTGGATATTTTTGGCACAAAAGGCCCACATGGAGTAAGCCCAAAGACATGTACTAATGTTTATCATTTCTCTGCAAATGTTTAGTAGCTTTCTAAATTATCTAATTTTTTGTATATACAGTATATGTATGTCTAGAGTCTTTAGACAAACTGATAAATTTAGCAGGAACATTAATATTATACTTGTTGATTTGGTATTATTATTACATCACAATTCTTCTAACTAAAAAAATCTTTAGAACTTGCCAAAAAAAAATCAAGAATCCGGTGAACTGATCATAGTTACAATTGATAACATTCCAATTACAGAACAACACGTATTTCTCTTCTAATATCCAATTGTAATGGGATACCATCTATTTTGTACACTTGCAGAGTCTAATTTTATTAGAAGTAGTGGATGCAGAGTCTTATTCTATAAGTCAATGAACTTAAAAATACTTGACTTCCCTAATTGACCCAAGTCATTAAATTAACCTTTCATAAACGAGATTCTTCTGATCACACTAGAGTTTAGTTTCATAATGTATATTTTATTTACGTGTACGTAAGTCTTCGTTCAGACGTCATTATATATTCTTGGTGATAGATTTACGTTTTACAAAATCGTCACATGTTTCTTCTTTTTTTAGCTAAACTGATCAGTTAAGATTTTTCATTCACAAGCTGTAAAACTTTGCATAACATTAATTATGTGTATAGTAAAATTCAACCCTTATTGAAATATAATGGTGTGATCTCTTCCATATATCAAAAGACATATGGCCAAAGCTTATGTTTTGAACAGTGACGACTCTAACCATAAAACCCAGAGCTAATTGTATACGTCTAATTAAGTCTTTTAACAACTAACTCTTTGGCCCCTTGATTCCTGCTTATCCCATATAATGGCAAATACGCGATTCGCATTAAGTGTTTTGGAAGGTAAGAATTCAGAAATAGCATCCTTTTAACTCTTTAGCTAGTATAAAACCCAAAACAAAACAAACAAAAAACACTTTAGCTAATGAGATGTTTGGTCTTTGGACCTTAGGTCTCAATTTCTTGATTATCCAATAAAGTTTCGTTAAACTCTTCAAAGGAACATAATGTTGTAATCCATAACTTGGGAAGACACAATTTGTGCCATGCAATCCAGTAATTTCATGTTTCCTCTATAGTTTTCTATATGTGTATATCGCCAATAAATTATTTACATTTATATGTTATAAAGACTATAAAATTAAAGATGTTTCAGTGCGAAAACAACATCCTGCTAAAATAAATAGATAAACAAACAATAACATATTGTAGCATTTTTCATGCACGTTGACGTATGCCATTAACTAACTATATTAGAAAACACTAATTTATGGTCCTACAAAATTAGACGTTTTATTTAAAAGAGTTTACACGTTTACTGTACTTCTTATTTCTTAATAAATTTTGAAAAAAATTACTAAAAAAAAGACAACTACTTTCTAATAATGTAGGATATTGGAAAAATTTAAACCAGAAAACGCAATGCAGTAAGTCATAATGTTAGAAAGTCTTCACGAATTTTCCCTTTTCCTTTTACACACTATTAAATTATGCTTAAATTATACAATAGTTTCAACTTTCTATTGTATAGTCGCAATTAACACACACAAAACATCATTGAAAAAATAAGTCAGTACTTCATGTATAAAAATAGTCCACATTTTCGGTTGAATTTCATTTAAAAAATAGAAATTCTATAACGGGTAACTTTATTGAGATGACTTAATTAGATTGAACGTGTAAAATACAATTCATTATTTTTCACATTAACGTTAATGGGTAGTTGACCATTTACTTTGAGATTTATGCATCTATCGAGATTGAAAATCGATAGTTGACCATTTATTTTGAAATTAGATAAAATATAAACCGCATAATTTTTCGTAGCGCCATGAGATTCAGAAGATCTTTTCAAAAGATTTTGATTAATTAAAATAATCCAGTCTACATGTGACCCACTCATACACTAATTTTGTTGTTAGCTGATCGAGTAAACTTATTACAATCACAGAATATTGTAAAATGATGATAACCAAATCTCAGGCATTAATTAAAAAACTAGTAAATAACTCAAAAGAGACTGTTAAAAAATAAAAACATAATTTCTAGACATAATCAATATATTTTTCTTGTTGTTTACTTACATCACTTGACAAAGTAGGTTCTTGAAGTATGGAGGAAATTACGTGAAAGTTAATATACAAAAAATGTTTACGGATTTTAATTAACTAACTAATTAACTCCTGTTAAATCATAAACATTTTTACGCACAAAGTCTTTTTTCTTGGTCAAGACGCACCAAGTCTATAAAATCCTGTTTTAAGAGATGTTTCTTCTTCTCAAGAGTCTCTGTTTCTCTCTCTCTAAAGGTCGCTACTCGCTATGACGATTGCTTCGAGTTTCCCAGAGAAATGTATTTCAGTAATCAACAAAGCTCCGAGTTGGGCCGTTTTCTTCCTTTTCGACCTTCTCGACGACTTTCTCTGCATCGTTTTCAGATTCCTCGACCAGGTTATGGAAGAAAAATTAGAGCCTTGTCACTGTAAAAACCCTCAAGATATACCAGATTTCGTTGGGTACGAGTATCTTTCAGACCATCAACACTTGTCGGAGACTCTTTACCGGAGGAGAAACGTTTTCCGACAAGCCGGTTTTCTCCGGTTTGCGAGAAACCTCCCTGAGATCACCAAGAAAATGGGCATGGTTACTTTCCTGAGAAATTTCCTTTTTCCGCAGAAAATGAAGAAAGTCCCTCGTGAGGTTGCAAACCGGTGGTCTGATTGTGGTTGCAAGAATTGTGTTTCTTGGACCAACACCGATAAACTTAACGTGATCGTTAAGCAACCTTCAGTGTCTCAAGGTAATTAGTCAACCAAACTTTAACATTTGGTTTACGCTTTATTTTTAACATTTCTTTTTTTTTTTTTTTCCATATGATCAGATTTATTAATGAGCAACAAACCGGTAGAGAACGTGATTTTCATACACGGATTCTTAGCATCTTCATCGTATTGGACCAACACAGTGTTCAAATATCTACCCGAGACCACCGAGAAAACTAACTACAGATTCTTTGCGGTCGATCTTCTAGGGTTTGGAGACAGCCCAAAACCTAGAGACTGTCGATATTCGTTGAAAGAGCATGTCGATATGATCGAGAAATCAGTTATTTTACCAAACAATTTGACTTCATTCCATGTTGTAGCACACTCCATGGGATGCATTATTGCAGTAGCCTTAGCTGCAAAATTCTCCGGCAGAGTCAAATCCGTTGCTTTAGTAGCTCCGGTAAGCGTTCCGATCATAGAAATCCGATTCCTCTTAAAAACTCGTTTTCAAACAACGTCTGTTTCTGAAATGTCTTTTTTTTCTTTCTGTTTGTTGATATTTAGCCGTATTTTGCCGATTCGAAAGAAGGAGCAAGTTGTGATGCACTTGATGTAATCGCCGAGAAGAAACTTTGGCCGCCGACTCAGTTTTTCTCGGCGATGATGGCTTGGTACGAGCACATTGGCCGTGGGGTTTGCTTGGTTATTTGTAGGCACCACCGTACATGGGAGAGCATCATCAAAATTTTAACTTGGAGAAGGTACATATAATATTATAATATATATATAGTCATATAGATAAAGACTAATTGTTTGGATCCTACGGTACCGGTTTTGAACATTGTGCTTTATTTTTTTAATGTTTAGGAAACTACCGACGGGGATAACAGAATTGACGAAGCATACGCATCAGTCGGCGTGGCACAGTATGCACAATGTGATATGCGGAGGAGCGAAATTTACGGATAAACACCTCGAGACTTTGATAAGTTCCGGTGTTAAAATCAGTGTGGTGCAAGGGGACAAAGATGCTGTTGTTCCTATTCATTGTCTATGGAACATGAAAGCCAAGTTTCCGGCGGTTGAAGTCGAGGTTATCGCCGGAACCGATCATAGTACGGTCATAATGAGTAGGAGGGAGGTCTTTGTTGCGAACCTTGTAAGTTTGTGGGCTTCTTCCGGAAAGAATCAAAACTAGTGGGAAGTGACAAACCATGAACCTCTATCAGTAAATTCATCTATTTTTTGTGTTTGTTGAAGGATTAATTGATGGAGAAGATTGTCACATGAGTTATTGTATACTATGAAACCACTTATTTGAATTAGCTATTTCCTCCCCACATCTTTAACCATCATTCATCATTGATGTTTTGGATACTATGTGGTTACGAAATTAAAATCTGGCTCATGGCATTTTACTAGTTCCAATTTTCAGCAAGAAATATAATCAAACATTACATATTGCATCTTCCCTAGATCTCTGATCCATTTATTCAAACTTTACAGGCCCAAAAGATGCAGTGTAGTTTTGTGGTTTATGTAAAAAAAGTTATACTTCCAACTTCGCTGCTGACTTATTGATGCCGCAAGGCCCAACTTGGGAATCTGACTCTTTTGTGAAGTCATAAGTGGGAACGTAAGTTTTTTTTAATAGGGCTTACCGATTAAAATGGTGGATATTCACTACAAACTTGAGTGATAATATCAAGAATCATAATCTATCAATTTGGGTTTTCTTCTCATACGTATCCTAATTTTTGTTTACCTCTTTCAGCCAAGAATCTAGGCTACAACATCGTAAGCAAGGTTTACTAATATTTCCATATATAATAGAATGTCATTTTTTTAAAAAGATACTTTTGCTAACAAACTTCATCAATATATAGAATTTTTCGCTTGCATATCCTATGATATTACTTTTCATCAATATCGAATAAATCATTTTATCAGGTTCATATGATTATTCTCTCTATTAAGGTTTAGAAGTTATAACGTAAAGTTAGAGGAACATTTTCAATTTTGTTCCACATGTGAAAGTAACTTGTCACATATGATATCATGTACGGTGATGATGCAGAGATTATCATCGCCTAAAATGGTAATTAAAAATTAACTAAAAAAAAATCAAGATTTTCATTACAAATATAATGCAATCAGTACTTTAATAAATATTTTGCTACTTCTCGATCAAACTATTGTTAAATGATTTCAGGGTATGGAGAGAGTTTGGGAAAATATGATAAACTTCTCATTCGCACAACCAGTTAAACAACTAAACTCGTTTTAACACACATCTATGATCTCATTTGTCTGCAATGTCCGTAATCATGACAAAAACCGGAGTGGGTTGAGAAATCCTTTCTTCAACGATGCAATGGAGTTATTTGGGACAAAGGTACGAGCTAATGGAATTTTTTTTTTGAGTTTCTCTTTTAGTTAGGATGATGTTGTATATGATCAGTTTGAGGCGATTAAGTTGGAATACAACTTCTGCAATTAGGAGAAAAGTGATCCTAGGAAGATCTATGATCAAGAGTATGTTGAGCTAATGTTTGATGAAAAAAACATAAAGATTTTGTTCTAAAGGATCAGGTTGCATAGACGTTTGTGGGTAAAGAACATATCATCATATTCACAACCAACAACAAGGAAGCAATCAATCATGCTCTGCTTAAACTATGTAGAATGGATGTTCATATCAACATGTGACATTATTTTCTTAGGTGTGCCAAAACTTGTTCATAAGAAACATCTCATTAAAAGGATCTAAACCTAATCATGACTGTTCTTGCAACAGTAATCATTTTTCAATCCATCTTAATTAATTGTTTAAAGACGAGGTAATCCATATGATCTCTATTTATTCTGACGATATTGTTTATGGCCCAACGAAAATTGAAAAGTTAAAAAGTTTGATGAAACATTTAAATGAATATCAAATAGTGATTATTTAAATACTAGCATTAAACAAATCAAGGGAACTTTTTGACGAAATATGTTTAAATGATCTCTATTTGAGATTAATTTTCAGATGAATCTCAGATCATTAAAATCCAGATGTGTTTAATATCTAAAAGGTGTTTGATAAAATACTTAAATGAATCTGATATTAATTTTTTTATTTTTGATGTTGGGATGATTAATGATGGATTTTTTTCTTAATGAACAATGATTATTTGATTAGAAAATTACTTAGTAATTAGTAAAGTAATAAGTGCTATAAAAATGCTATAAAAGTGGATCAATCTTGCTAATATAATCCATGTGTTTAGGATAGTGTTTCAAGATTGTTCTTGCATCATCAATCATTTGTCAATCCATCTTAACGAATTGTTTTTCTTTAATGTTAAAGAAAAATAATGTTGATTATCTTAGTGACAAAATCATAATAATAATAAAAAAACCAATTAAAAAATTAATGAAAAAATATGCTATGATGAGTTTCTTTTTTTTGCCAGCTTGTGATACGGTATGATTAGATTATAAAATTCTCTCATGTGATTCTCTCCCTCAATTCTCTTTTCAAATTTCTCCATCTTCTTCTAATCATATTCATCATCTGATTCACTCGTGGAAAACTCGTCCTCGAGCGCCACACCATCATCTTTGTCTTCAATTACTTTCTCCTGAGTCCGAGTCAACACCTGTCTCCTCGATGTCTCATCAACGTCGGATACTCTCATCTCTCCCTCTTCCAGTTTCTTCATCTTCTTCATAGATTCTTCATCATCACGCTTCTCTGGCTCTGACCTCTTCCTCTTGAGAGCACTAACCAAACCCTCAAGCGCCGCATCAGCGTCTTCATTTTTCATTAGCTCCTCCGCGACTTGAGCCGGGGTCAACACTTGTCCATCAATCAAGTGCTTTATTTCCGGGTAGAGACAGTGCGGATCATCATCACTGTCGTGAGACATGCCTAAGTAGTTAGACGCCAGTGTCTTAAACCCATCATAATCGCAATGCCCCATGTAAATGTGCATATCCATACGGCCTGGTCTTAGCAATGCGGGATCAAGCTTGTCCTTGTTGTTCGTCGTGAATATTATCAAGCGTTCGTTTCCACAACTCGACCATAACCCATCTACGCAATTTAAAAGTCCTGATAACGTCAATCTTGGTGTTGATGCCCCTGCGGCAGGTAACGTCTCTGCCTATCACATAAAAAAAATGTGAATAATGTTTAGGATCGTTCCACGTATTGTTTGAAAGAAAAAGAATGACGTAAAACCTAAATCAAAACCATTGTCAAGACCAAACCTCACTTTCGGTTGCAGATTGCAATCGTGTAGGCATATCCACGGAGCAGTCTATGTCTTCTATAAGAAGAATCGAGCTGTTGTTGACGCCAAGAAGCAATCTCCTTAGATCGGCGTCCCCGTTCACGCTTGCGAGCTGAAGATCATAGATATCGAATTTGAGGTAGTTAGCCATAGCTGCCACTAGACTAGTCTTCCCGGTCCCTGGTGGCCCATACAGCAAGTAACCCCTCTTCCAAGCTTTTCCAACTCTTTTATAAAAATCTTTCCTTTTGATGAACCGATCAAGATCTTCAACCACAGAACGCTTGAGCTCGTTGTTCATAGCCATCGTTTCGAGTGTCGAAGGGTGCTCGAAGTTCACAGATTTCCATCCATAACCGAGAGAGTAGGAGTACAACTTGAGGATTCTACTCTCGTCCTCGATCACCTTTGCCTTACTCTCTACGTAAGGTACATAAGAGTTTAACACCCAGTCTCTGTGTTTCTTGTCGAAGCTCAGCTGGAGGCATTTCGAATCGATATTTTCTCCATCTTCAACCTTGGTGCTAGCTGTATACAACCACTTGAGCTTAATACCTTGGTACGTATCGGAGACAACCTCTCCATGGCTGGGGAATAAGTTGACATTTTTATTGTTAGGGTGTCTAGTCATCCTTAACATTGATGCATCAGGGCTTATCTTGCTTGAGAGCTAAGTCTCGAACGCAGAATAGAGCTCGTTCCGCCTCCAAATCCCGTCCCTGCCAGTCCCGCCCATATCATCGATGAGGAGCGTAAGAGTCGATGAACGAGAGCCGACTAAAGACTTGATATACGAGACAACATAGTTTTCTACCGATTCTGGAATTAACATGTGAAGACTGTTAACCGTTGGATAGATCATCATGACGAGACCCGTCATTGATGCATATGTAGAGAAAATTGATGCAGGAGAAGCGAAATCTATAGAGAACGCCATCGTTTGGACTTTAGGGTTTGGGTCTCTCTTCAATGTTCTTGCGGCTTGTGGCTTCTAGTTAAATCTTGTTTATATAGAAAAATATATGCTTCTCACAAAAGAAGAGGAAAAATACACCTTAAAAACAAAAACAAAAAAAAGAGGAAAATATATTAAAATTCTCTATATAGAAACTAAACCCTAAAGGAATCGCTTCTCCGCTTTCAGATCATACATCTCAACTCTTTTGCATCAGACTTTCTTAGCGGCGGCGGTATATATACCATGATGATCAAGTCGATCAAATCAGTGGTTCAGGCAACAACTCGTACGATACTAAGCTTGATCATCTCTTGTCTCCGGTTTCTTTTCGGCTTTGCTTCGCTGACTCATCATCACGACGATACAGAGCTTGACGATCATGCGACGGTTATCATCGAAGACTCCACGGAGGCTGGGAGGGAACACGTGCTCTATGCCGCCACTCGGGCTTATCTTTGCGGCAAAACCAACCTTTACTCGGACAAATTCTACGTCGTCGGAGAATGCAAGGTGGACGATCTGTACCAAGGGGTCGAGCTCGAGTGGAGGATTTTCGTTGATAAAAACAATATGGGAATCATCACTAAGGAATGGTTCGAGCTGAGATTTGATGAAAAGCACAGAGATTTGGTCTTCGACTCTTACATACCTTTCGTGGAGAGAAAGGCTACGGAGATCAAGAGCAAGAAGAGAGACCTCGAGGTGCACACATACTCTCACTGCTCTGACACTTGGGAAACCAAGAGCCTCGACCACCGTTCAACCTTTGAAACGATTGTTATGAAGGAAGAGGTCAAGCGTGGCCTCATCGACGATCTTGACCTGTTCATCAGAAAAAAAGATTTCTACAAAAGAGTTGGTCGACATTGGATAAGAAATTACTTGCTGTATGGGCCACCAGGGACCGGGAAGACTAGTCTTGTTGCTGCTATGGCTAAATATCTCGACTTCGATGTTTATGACCTAAGTCTCTCGGAAGTGGTGAAAAGTGACTTCGACCCAAGGAAACTAATTCTAAGAATCATGGATTGCTCGATTATCCTCGTAGAAGATATAGACTGCTCCCACGAGGTTTGTTCTCCTTTTTTTGCTGATTTCTTCAACATTATATATTTATATCTACTTCCTCTGATAATCTTGATTAGTATATATTTTCGAACAACATATGTAATTAATTTTTTTCTTCTTTCGGGTGTGAACAACAGGGATCGGTAGTGGCATTATCGCAACTGTTAAATTCCCTACTTGGGCTGTGCGCGAATGGCGAACCACGCATCGTAATATTCACGACAAACAACAAGGAGAGGCTTGACCCAACATTGCTATGTCGTATGGAGATGAAGATTTACATGGGACATTGCTGTTTTGAGGGACTCAAAACGTTGGCGTCTAACTACTTGGGCCTCTCTCACGACAATGATGACCCACACCGTCTCTACCCGGACATCAAACGTTTGATTGATGGACAAGCTGTGACACCGGGTCAAGTCGCAGAGGAGCTAATGAAGAGCGAAAACGTTGATGTGGCCCTCGAAGGTTTGGTGAGGACTTTGGAGATGAAGAGTTTAGTATCAGATAAGACTGATGAAGATAACAAAGGAAAAATTGGCATGTGTAGGATATGATGAGTTTATATACACCCTGAGGTGAATTTAAAACAATTTGATGATTTTTCACAGCATTGAATTTATCTACTAATTTATTGAAACTAAGCAAATATGTGTGCTGACTAAGTCTGTTAAGACTGTTTCTTACCTATGACATAAAAATAAAAAGATTTGCTCTTCACAAAGAGACTCTCTACTCTACTACTCCGTGCTTTATTTTTTTATTTGATACTTGACTACTTCCTTTGATATAACGTTCGTTATTCTTTTCATGCAGACAGAGTATAGTTATGTGCATTGTATAACATTATTTGTAAAATACCTCCAACGACTATCTCAACGATTCTTATGAAAGAAAAAAAAAAGAAGAAGAAAGTTTCATATTTCTTAATGGGTCTACAAGGGCTCACCATCCTACATAGAAAACATATAAGAGAAAAACTTAAAAACACTTTTAACTTATATCATCATCTCAGAAATTTCCACACTTTTTTTTTTCCAACTTTTAAAGTAGTAAGTCTCTTAGGTCTAATCTTGTTTCCTCATAATCTTATTTTGAACCAATACTACTGGATCATGTAAGTTTCTTACACACGCCTTAGGTCCAAAACAGAACAAGTTTCTTAATTTTTCTGCTATGCTTCCTCGGAGAACCCTCTGTATCACGCCTTAATTTCATCTCCTCCATCTCCAATCTACTCTCCTTCTTCTTCATCGCCGGATTCGGTTCCTCAGATTTAAGCCTCATCTTCTCCAAAACATTTACCAAACCCTCAAGCGCCATATCAGCATCCTCGCTCTTCATCAGCTCCTCTGCGACTTGTGCCGGCGTAATTACTTCCCCGTCCATCAACCGCTCGATCTCCGGAAAAAGACGGTGTGGCATTGTGGTGTCGTTCAAGCCCAAATAGTTAGAAGCTAAGGTCTTGAACCCTTGGAAAGAGCAATGTCCCATGTAAATGTGCATATCCATACGACCCGGACGGAGCAATGCCGGGTCAAGCCTATCTTTATGGTTCGTCGTGAATATTATAATCCGCTCGTCCCCACAACTTGACCATAACCCGTCTATGAAGTTCAGCAGCCCTGATAAGGTCAAAGGTCCCTAACCACAAGAAAAAAAAAATGTCATTTATAAATATACTAATTATGTAGACTATTCAGAGAACTGAACTGAACTGAACCGATTGAAATGGTCCGGTTCGGTTTGATTTGGTAATCCTTATACCAAAAACCAATTTACAAATCTAATAGATCCATAGAGAAACAGAACCAAACCTGAGAATCTCCACGGTTCTTGCCTTCAACAGGCTGTTCCAGTCGGTTGGGCAAATCCACTGCGCAATCGATATCTTCTATGACAAGAATCGAGCGGTTACGTGTTGCGAGTAAGAGCCTCCTTAGATCAGAGTCACGCATCACACTCGCAAGCTGAAGATCATAGACATCAAACTTGAGGTAATTCGCCATTGCTGCAACCAGACTAGACTTTCCGGTTCCCGGTGGTCCGTACAGCAAGTAACCCCTTTTCCAAGCTTTCCCTACTCTCTTGTAAAAATCTTTCCTCCTTATGAACCGGTCGAGATCGGCGATGACGTCACGCTTGAGCTCATCTTCCATAGCCATTGTCTCAAAGGTGGAAGGATGTTCGAGGATAACTGATTCCCATCGGAGACTGTTGAGAGAATGCAGCATCAAGATTCTCCTCTCGTCTCTGATCTCTTTAGCTTTAGCCTCGATGTGAGGAACGTAAGAGTTTAAGATCAGATCTTTATGCTTCTTGTCGAAACTCAGCTCAAAGTACTCGCTTTTGCCGTCGTCATCCATACCTCCTCTTCTTCCTCCGCCGCCTCCTCTTCCTCCTCCTCCTCCTCCTCCGCCGCTTTTCTTGTCGCCGCCGTCTGTAATAAACCTCCATTTGAGCTCGACGTCTTGGAACACATCGTTGACGATTTCTCCGTCGCTGAGATACAAATTGACGTGTTTGTCCTTGTGGCCTTTGCTGATCCTGAGCCTGACCGCGTCGGGACTGATCTTGGTGGAGAGATAAGTCTGAGCGGCTCGGTAGATCTCGTTGTTCATGCCCATGTTGTCGTCGTCGATGGTTAGAGTCAGAGTTGAGGAAGAAGAACGGTAGAACAGAGACCGGAGAGAAGAGTAGATGAAATCTTGGATTGGAGCTGGGATCAGCTCGTGAGCCATTGATCGAATCATCATCATGTAACCCGCCATTGATGCGTAAGCTGTGAAAATCGATGTAGGTGAAGGAAGATCCTTTGAGAAAAACATCGTGTCTCTCTGTTCTGTTACTGTTTTCACTGTGTTTCTTGGAGATGGAGAGAGTGAAAGTGAAAAATGAAAGAGATATATAAAGAAGAAGAGAAGCTTAAGGAAGAAGGTTTCATTTGGGGATAAAGGACATTATTAGGCTCTCAACTCTTAATATCTCATTGTGACATTGTCTTTATTCAATGGATGTGTGTGTGAAGACCTCTTTTTTTCCACAATATTATTAGAAAAATTTTGAGAATTGAAAAGCTAATAAAAAAAGTAAAGAGAGGACAAAAGAAACTCATGGAAAATTTCTACGTCTCTTTCCACGAAGAGCATGTCCATTTATTTTTCCAATTTTAACTCATATGAACCGTCTTATTTTAATATTTGTTGCTTGACCAATGACGACTTGAAAATATTGATGTTGGCGTAGTAAATAGTATATTTTTAATTATCCAGTTGTAATGTGGCAATTTCTGTACTTTAGTTTTTTTAGTCTAGTAGATTTGAAATCGATTTTTATGTAAAGATAATTATAACGATTTGTAGTCTTGAAACTATATACATATATGTAAATCGTAACAGCGGAATTATCTAATTATACACAAGTGATAATCTAATCGGCATGCATCATAAAAGATGACGACAAACTAAAAGTTTATACTGCACATCTATAATCTACTTAAAAACCGAATATGATAATATACATGTAGAAATATTTCTACTAATTAACTATTGGATCAGTGACGTTTTCACATACAAGGTATAGTAATCACCAAAAAGGAAAGTTTTCTTATTTTTTGTGGGATGTCATAAACAATCCTACTGAATTATGTTATTGCTTGATAGAGAAAATAAAAGTTGTAATGATGATGTAACCAACTTTACGGTAATTAATTTATGTGGTTAATGGTTATACATTATTGGATTTTGCTTAGTTTGGTTGAGGTGGAAGATGACTTGTACACTTACATAACGACCATTCACCATTATATATAAACTTGATTTTCCGAAACTCGATGACCAAAATAACCTAAACTTTTAATGTCTTTTTTAGACATTTCTAGAAGAACAAAACCTTGGTGCAATTGATCTTTTTTGTCTGCGATAACAATTTTGGAGGTTTTAGTAGGTGCGTTTATGTTAATAAGTTTGGAAATTACAGTCACTATTTATGGTCGGGATTTAACTTTATAACTTTAGTATTTATGTATATATTTGATGATAGACCTCATAAAAGATCCAAAAGCAAAAAGATTCGCTATATTGTCGCGATGTGGCATGTGGGACTATTGCGTGTTGTAATTCAACAGTAAAGAAAATTCAGAGGAGGATGTACGTGTCAGAACATAAGTGGATGATTTGATTCATAACCAAGAAAAGAAAAGTAAGTGTACTATGAGTCATATGGTTTCATCGTTCTTTTTGGACCGTGGTGTTCTCTCTATCGTTCACCAATACTTCTTCAAAAGTGAATTTATATATCACAAACATTTTTTTAATTGCCAATAACAAAGCATTATTAATCCTAATATAAAACACTAAAGCAACTTTTTCGTTACTAGTCAAGTTACGTCTCAATCTTTAAAGGCGGGAAAGAAACTTAGCAGGAAAAAATATAATATAAATGATCAATTGAGTTTCTCTTTATCTCATTGTTTAAGCCGCTTGAAAACAAAATCAGAGAGAGACAATAGTCCAAGATCTTCGATTTAATAATCTTTTTGAATCCTAATCCGATGTGGTCATGTGATGCACATTTTGCAAATAATAGAATTCGATATTCTAATCGACAACATGTGATATAGTTGAAGGACGAAATCAACAATATACGTGTTCAATAGTTATGAGTATTGTGCTGCAGCTTCAAAAGCCTTCAATGTAAAAAAGAAAGACTTTCCTTTTCTGTCTTTTGAGTTTTGACTGTTGTACTTTTAATTGTCAGTTTAATTTTGTTTCGCTATCCACCTATTCCCCACATCACATTTCACAATGTCACATTTGATAAAAAAGATGATGAGCCAATGAAATAGTTTTTTCTTTTTTTTTTTTCATAAAAAATCAACAATGCCAGCTTACAACTAACTAAAATCCAAAAAAGCATTATATATAATTCAAAAAATTCGAAAAGAACAAGCCGACTAACAAAAAGTAAATTTGTAAAATTATATATATGTTAAATCAATCCAAATCAATCTTTAATCACCCTTTTTAGAGCTATGCTTTTAAGCGATTCCATGATTCATCATGATAGTAGTAGGCCCAGTAGCCCAAAATTGATTGCAACAAACCAAAACAAATAGGGTGGGTCAAGCGGATGTCACTGTCAAGCCTTTTATATCATACCAAAACAAACCGTATACGTAAACCATATGACTAAGACTAACCAAAAAAATCGAAACTTCCATTGGGATGACATCACACATAACGACGGACAAGGGTTTTGTTTATGAAGCTAGCAACAGAAAATACAAACTCTCACTCTATTAAGATTTAAAGACACAACTCTCAAGTTGTGATTGTAACTAAAAATTATTGATCAGAGATTTTGAGTTTTTCAATAGTACCACTTTGGAGCAATCAAAAAGCAGAGATTTTGATCAGAACTGGAATTGCATCTCTGGAGAGTAACCCAGAGCTTCAAGATTTGCAGCCATGGCCTTGTTCATCGGCGGTGGTCCACATCTTAGGATCTGCCACAATGTACATGAACCGTAAGAAGATTGACACACCATCGAATCCTATGTTCATCACTCAAAATTACTTTTTGTCAAATGTTTCATTCTCTTGCACTTGCAGTGTTCTTGGTTTTGTTTCAAACATTGAGAGAACAGTGATGATCAGGGTATGTTCAAGATCAAGAACAGAGGAAGCGTTTACCTGAATATCGGATGCTGGTGCAGGGCAATGAGCCTGAATCATTTCCTTCGATACAAATCCAACACCACCATCCCATATTTCCGGAGGCTAATCAAAATACCAAGAACCAAAAGGTATCAAAAGAGGTTTTTTTACAGGTATTTACATTAGAGAAACGCCAAAGAATTTGGATTTTGTGGCTAACCTGGTTCAAAACATAGTAGATTTTGAATTGATCTGGGTAATTGGCGGTAAGACTCTCCAATTCTTCCTGTAAAACAAAGTATTGATACACAAAATATTTTAAGATGTTGAAAATATAGTCTATTAAAAACTCATAAGAATCACAAGGTGAGAGACATTTTACCTTTAAAAGAATGTCTTCTTGTGTGACATTGGCGTAAATGAGGTGCACCTTTGTCTTGTCTGTTGGGTTTTCTAGAATCGCTCTTGCAACCTTCACAGATGCGATAAAAAAAAACGCGTTTTAAACATATACATTGGCTTCAAACACGTTATTTAAGCGCAGATGTATCAGACATACTTGGAACATGGGAGTGATGCCTGAACCTCCAGCAAGCATTCCAAATGCCCTAAACTGGCCTGGCTGATACTTAAACCTGCCCTGCCAAGTTAAAAAAAAAAGTAATAAAACAAAAGAAAGTTTTGACTTTTGAGATTCAAGAAAAGTATAGAATAAACAGTTTTGATTGTAAAGATCAAGTAAGCATTAGCAAGACATTAGAATTTTAAAAAAGGTACCTTTGGTCCCTTTACAGCAAGATGGTCTCCAACACGCATCTCCCTGAAATGATGAGACATCCTTCCTTGCGGATACATCTACTTGGCAGCAACGAAAAGTTCCAGCATTTGTCGGTTTAGTTTAGGAAAAAACGATACCCGAATCAAGTTGAGAAGTGTTTTTTTTTAGCATATACCTTAATGACAAGTTCAAAGCGTCCAATGTCTGAATCTAACGTTGTCGGAGTGTATGGCTTAATAACATCCTCTCCTTGAGCATCCTTTCCCCTATTGAAAAATGACATTATAATCAAACACAACGTCCATCGAAACTCTCTCTCTTAAACAGATTTCAACACAGAAGACATAACCTAAAGTCTACAAACGAGCATGTTCACAGCCATGTCGTATAGCAACTTGCAGAAGATTGAATTTTGATATGAAAGCTCAGAGATTGTGAACAAAGCACAGAGATTAATGAGGAGAGGGTAGTAAGAAGTAAGAAGATTAGACCTGCAACTGATGTGTTGTCCAATGGGAAGACCCAACACGGAGGTAGAAGATGGGAGCTCAAATACGAATTTGGCCACATTGTGACTAAGCTGTTGCTTCTTAACGAGCTTGAACTCTTTGAAATTCTCTGGATCCAAACACCCTACGAGCCAACAAATACACTAGATTTAGTCACATCTTCAAGTAGATCAATTGCTAAATCCAACCTTGCAAACAGATGAATACTACACAAATGTTTGCCTTTAAAATTTATAAAATTTTGATGGTTTTTTTTCAATCAGTCTTCTAAGAGAATAATAATAATCAGTGAGATACGCATTGTGAAACTGAAACCCAGAAAAGACGAGCTGAACACTTTTGAAATTTGAGATCGAACCTCTGCGTTTCTTGGAGGACGAAAGATAATAAGCAGCACCAGCACCGGCGGCGACGAAAGCGACGAAGACGCCCAAGAGAATCTGACGATCTAGGGTTCGGAGAAACTCGGTATCCATGGCTAAAACCCAGGAAGAGAAGAATCAAATTGGCTCAATTGAAAAAGTGAGAATATAAGGAAGAAGTGGAGGATATGGTGCAAGATCACTCTTTTTCGACTAGTCACTTTCCCTTGTTATCTCCGCCATTAAAACGAGGGGATGGGATCTGGTAGACCTAACCCCATCACGTTATACTTGCCTTGTTTGCAACATTTATTATTATTAGGGACCATATAATATACAATTTTACATATATATTCATTGTTTTGTGAAAGGAAAAATATAATTGACAATGGTACAAAATGGATAAAAACCGAAATGAAATCATTTTTCATTGGAAGTATATATTTTATATATTAGGGAGTAGAGAGACTCTTAATTTCATTTCTATATTTGTTTCAGATTTTGTGTTAAATAAAAAAAAGAAAGACAAAAAAAAAAAAAAAAAAAAAAAAACTAAATACAAGTCACTCCACTTGTGTTAACGTCACTGAACCCTGTTGTTCTACATGAACACCAAATGCTCTCCAAATTCTCAGCAAACTCTTCTCTTCTCTCGCTTATAACACTCTCATGATCAGCACCTGCGACAATGTCAACTTCCACCGCCGGAAAATTTGACTTCATGTCACCGGAGCAATGTGAAGGAACGATTTTATCAAGGTCTCCTTGTATCAGGTGAATCCTAACGCCGGAGTTTACTAGGGTTTCGAGATATTCATCAGCGAATTTAGAGGCGCCGCATATCACATTGTGCATGCTATGCCATGCTGAGTGATGCGTGTGTCTTGTTATATCCTGTATCTTCCAAGGAATCTCCCTAACAAAGATCAAAAACCTTTTTATTGAAAAATTTAAAATCTTTAATACCGAACCAATAACCAAAAAAGAGTTCAAATGTTTTACCTTTTACCGGTACATAGCTTGATGAGCCATTCCCATATCTTGTGATGCTTGCAGATTATAAAACAAACGCACCTACCGATATGTTCATACCAAGACATCACCGCCGTTCCAAACGCCAGTGGCGGCCACAACCGCTTTCCAGCGATTCTAGTCAAGACCGATCCTTCAAGCGATGAAGGAAAATAAGGCTGAATTGTAAAGAACACACACAAACATAAGTTCTCACAACTTGAATCTCTACGGATTAGACTGAAAAGATAAGATTAGACAAAGCAGATTAATCTCTCACCGGTGCGACGATAGTGACAGATTTGATGACGGTTGAGTGTTTTGCCGTCAGAGCAAGAGCAATTAAGCAACCCATCGAATGTGCAACTACATGAAATGAATCTATTTGGTACGGATTAATGACAGAACTCTCGATCGTCTCTACATGATCTCTCAATGTATAGACACTGTCTCTTGGCTTAGGACTCTCCCCAAAACCCAATAGATCGATCGCGAAGAGCCTATAACCATCTTTCTTAATGTGTTCGAACACAGTTTCTGTCCAAAAATGTGATGAACCCATGAAACCGTGTATGAATATTACATTCTCCAACGGTTCTTGAACAGAGTCCTCTGTTTTTTTTTTCAAAACGAAACATTAAAATCAAATGTTAGCAAACAATAATACAATAGTAGAATATTTGATTTCGAGAAGTAAAATCAGCATAATTTTATTACCCCTTTTAAATTTAATGATCGTGAAACATTAAAATCCGGGACAGCAACAGCAACAACACGAAATAATATAAAAACGTATTTTTCGAAATAATTTGACCTGGAGAAATTGAATCTTTGACCACGACATGAAGATTCCCATTTTCGTTCTTCGTCCACGAATTGCAAGATTGGCACCCACAATCTGACCACCTATTCGCCGGCTCATGAATCTTAGATTTACTCATTTTACGGGAAAATTTGAACTTTCTCGCGAATCCCAGAAACCCCATTTCCTTGAAAACGTTTCTCCTCCGAAATAAAGTCTCCGAAACCTCATTTTCACCGGTGGTACTAGAAGCCTCCGTGCAGTAACAGCCTCGGGATTTTCCCTCCAGACTCTCGTCGATGAAGTCGTAAACTACGCAGAGAATGGCGTCGATGAGGTCGAGGAAGAAGAAGATGATTAAAGATAAGGCGGCGTGAATGGCTAACCCGGATTTTCTCGCCCACTTTCTCGTGAAAATTGCGAGGAAAGACATGGAAGCCGAGAGAATCTAAAGCGCCAGAGAAATTGAGAGATAAATGGTTAGGCCACGTCGAAAGAGAAATGTTTTTTGACGTATACAGAACTCAGTACGACGTCGTCGTCAGTAAATGCATGCATATTCAAATGTTGGTATGTCCATTTCTTCTAGACTACTGAATCATACTCAAATGTAAATGCTTATTCGCTTCAAGAATCGATAAGGATGATTTTGCTCAATCCCTTAATTTGGAATCAAGCTTATTACATGTCAGTGTTGGTTACGGAAGAATATGTTTTCTTCTAATCTCAGCCTTATTGTTTTTGTTCAAGAAAAATTCAAATAATTTTGTTGTGTGCAGGAGGAGAGAAGATTCAAGCACATCGACTTCTGAAGCATGTTTTCGTCGCTTTAAATACCCAACAGTGTATAACTAAAAACAAGATAATATAAATGTGTAAAAAAAAAAGGTATTGTAAATTACTCCGCAAAAATGTTATGGCTACAAGGTCATCTATCTCCTTTACCGGCTGGATCATAGTCAGTGTTCGGAGGAGGATTTCTCTGCTGGCGTTGAGAAGCTAAACGCCGTTCCAATGGAGTCTTCCTCTTGCTGACAACAAACCTATTCACTCCTTTCCTCATCGGCATTATCGACGGGAAATCTTCGTCCGGGATCTGACTCAGCTCTGATATGTTCTGAATCTCAGCCACTCGCTTAAACCATCTCTCTGCTTTTGCTTCCTCTGACATGTCCAACAAGTCAGGCTCCGTCACCAACGAACCCTCCAAGCTCTTTCCATTTCTGATCTTCTTCGCTGCCATTGGCTCGGGATTCTTGTTGCTTGAAGGTTCTCTTGGTTCTTCTACTACTCCTACCTGAGAGGTGTTTTCTGTAGCCGGGGATGGAATAGTAGTATCTGTTGTTTCCTCCGGCTGTTTGTGTTTGGCGAAGTAGTCAGGTGGGAAAGGGACAAAAGGGACAAAGTCTGCGTCTTTTGCTTCAATGGACATTCGTCTCTTGTCTGCTGGAGAAGTCAGTGAACGGTCTTTCTTCCTGCTCACCACAAACCGATTCTCTCCTTTACGCATTGGCATTTTCTCAGGAGAATTCTCTTCCTGTGTCACACTTTCCAGATCTGAAACGTTGTGCAGCTCTGTGATCCTCTTGAACCACCTCGCGGATTTTCCCTCTGATTCTTTCTCATCTTTTGCAGGTTCATCTGTTTCTTTGCCAATGAGACTCGCACTTGACTTGTCCTCTTGATAAACATTTCGATTGTCATCTGATACACCGTCCATTTGGTTGTTGGTGGTCACACTTATCTGCGTTTCCTCCTTATCGGGCTTCTTGGCAAACATATCGGACGGTAGTGGCACGAACGGGACAAAATCAGAGTTAACCACATGAGAAGATTGAAACCTCCTGGAAGAAACATTATTATCATCAGATCGAGAAGCCAAGGAAGATGGAGAACCGAGAATCTCATTCAAGCTCCTGTTCGTTTTAGTTCCCATTGCCTTATCCTCGCTCCCTTTCATTCCATCTGTGGCTACGCTTCCCTCAGCATTAGCTAACCTTCTCTCAAGAGGCGTCTTTCTTGTGCTCACGACAAATCTGTTCACTCCTTTCCTCAACGGCATAATCTCTGGAAAATCCTCATCTGTATCAACACTGTTTGCGTCGGAACCACCCTGTGCTACTTTACTAAACCACCTCTGTGCTTTCTCTTCGTTTTCTATCAGTCTTCTCTCAAGCTCAGGGTCTTTTGAATAACCAGAGTTTGCTGAACTGAGTGAGAAGTCCCCGGGTCTCTTGCAGTCACATCTTAAGCAAGCTACATTCCTCCCGTAATTGTAGAAATCGCATCTGATGGGGAGAAACAAACGAGAAAGAAAGGGAAGGTCAAACTCATTATTCACCATCGCATTAACCATAAAGCAGCATATAAAACAAAAACTAGATGCTTACTGGGGACACTCCCATTCTCTACCAGTTAACTGTCTCTTTGGTCTTGCTTCATCACACTGGAAGCATTTGACATTTCTCGCAAAGTTCATGCCACTGCACCTGTTTAAACAAAAGTCTCATACCATATATTGGATTACATGAACAGCAAGAGGATGAAACAAAGAGATTTTACAGCTTACTAACTTCTAGCTCTAAAGATGCGATCTTTCGACCCCTATAATAGTGTAGTCACATTATATACTAATTCAAACTCAGAACATATAGAAATTTTCTTATAAGAAAGGCAAACCAACAGGCCATAGGAGGCTTAAATCAAAAGGATACTGGAATCCAACAAATTCATAACATACCTCGAGCAAATCCAGTCGCCTCGTTTCATCTCAATGTTCTTCTGAAAGGACCCGAGTGGCTGTCCATTACTGAATGAGGACTGATTTTGCATTGTGCTGCCACGAACGTTCGACTCAGGAGTACGGAAGCTCATCTTTGCTATCTCGCTCAAGAGGCTTCGAACCGATGACTCCATGATCTCTTGGTTATGGTGTTTGCTTCCCTCAGAAGAAGCAGAATCCACAACATAACTCAAAAGAAGCCTCATCAAATCCACTGTACTCGCCTTATCCATATCCAGTATCTATAATATGAAACACAAGTGATCGAAATATTAGAGCGACATTTCAACATTAATAACTCTCTAAAGTGAGACTAGGATTCACCAACCACCATTAAAAGAGTAAGCTTTCTGCCAGAAAGAGCTTACCTTACCAATGCCCTGAGGACCACTTCTTAGGTAAAGGCTCATCTTCTTCAGTGAATCTGGGCCTGTCGTAAATAAGAACGGCTTTCCATTCTCCACCACCACTTCTACGTCTCTCCTCGAAAGCATTCTAACACCCGGAAGAAGAAAAGAAAGGTGAAACTGGGAAGCGATCAAGGAGAAAAAGAAAACCCACGAAAGAGGGTTTAACGAGATGAAAATAGCAGCTTTACTTACTCAAGTAAGTCGGGTCGATCACGAGCAAGAGCTAAGCAAGCGAGAGCTGGACGGAGGAGTTCATCTGGAAAACCGGGGGAAAAATCGTTTTCGGAATCGGAGATTGGACCAGAATCTGGGAAGTAACCAGCCTCGGAGAGAGATTGGAGTAGCTCTGTCCATTCAAGTAGCCGGTGGTGATAAGAAGGAACAAAATCGGCGGCGGAGAAACGGACTCGGTGAGTATGGAGCCTCCCCAGAGATATCGTGTGGGTGAGCGGCGGCAAAGACACGAGTAGACTGAGAGAACATCGATTGGGCGAGCCAACGGAGGAAGGAGCAGACGCCAGGCGGTGGAAACGGCGGAGGTTGGTTACGCGGCCGATGAAGATGCCACGGAAGATGAAGAGAGGAGGAGGAGAAAAGAGAGAGAGGAATCTGGTGGAGTTGTTCATCGTCTCTCCTCCTCGACGGTGACCGTTTGGTTATTTCTCTGCTCGGAGGAGGATAGAAATTGGATGAAATGGGATGAATTTGTAAGTTTTTCTTTTGGTCCCGGATAGTTTGTAAATATTATTTTCGGCGAGGATTGTTTCAGTAAATCGTAATACTTTTTTTTAATTGCAAATGATTAAGAAAAAAATATAGGATGGATTTTAAAAAAAATTACTATAAATTAAAATTCGATAAATTAACAAATTTGATAAATCAATTATTTTGATCAATCTTGAGTTAGATCGGTTTATAATTTAATATAACTTGATAAAATAATAAGATATTTTTAAAAAAAATCTATGTAAAATATAGTCCAAATAATATCATAAATTAATAATATTATATAAAATAATTTTATATAAATATATAATTATGATAATCTATTAAATACGAGTATATTTTTGCTTATTGAAATTAAAATATATTTATTAAATAACTCTAATTTTATAATAAAACTTTTGGAAAATATTATATATTTTAAAGAAAATATTTTTTTTATTTAATTGTTAATATACAATTTATTTAATTCAAAACCGATAAATTAATAATTCTATAAATTAATAAAATATTAAAAATCCTAATATTATTAATTTATAGAGTTTCTATTATATTATGAAGAATTTTATGAACATATAAATATGCTTTTATATTATCTTAACTCTTTAGGGTTTGAAGTACCAACATTTTATCTCATCTCTACTTCTTTCCTCTCGTCTCGTCTTCACTTTATCTCTCACTCTCTTCTGCCATCCCATTCTTCTCTTTCTCCCACAGTGGATGGATGTTGGAAGCTCCAAGTTGAAGATCTATTTGTTCAACTTTGCATTGTTGCATGTAGAATGTCTCCTAGGCCGTTCCTAGGTCTTCCATTGCACCAGATTGCGTGGATCTGCTGGGCGATCTCACTAGTGAGACAGTTTCAAGCCTCTTTGAAAATTTGTGGTGCTATTCCCATGGAAGACACCTTATCCATACAGTTTTTGGTGAATGCTATGCCGAGAGTTTTTTTCAATGAAGATGGGAGTGGTGAGGCTATTGATTTGTATGGAGTTGCTGAATACTTTAGTTTGATTGGAACAGTTGCTGGTGAGGAATGTCCGCTAAGCCATATCATCTTCCTAAATAGCCGGATTCAGGTGATTAATTTATATTGACTTTTGCTCTTTTTTAAATCGTTTTCCTATGAAATATGGTTTTTACTTGTTCTCATGTTCCTAACTTTATCCAATTTGTAGGCGAGAGGTACATACCTCATAATTACCTATTTAGATTTCTCCAAGGCTAGAAGATATATCCATATTTTGGACTATAATCCAGTTCTAATTGATATGAGGTGTAATAAAACATTCCAGACAAATCTTGCATTTCAGTCAATATAAATATCGATTCAATGTATATAGATATTATTGGATTTAATTTAACCCAAGTGATATATCTAAGACTAGGCATGTTTTGAAGACTAGTGTGAGTATTATCTTGAAATACTCAATTTATAAAACAATTCACATCAAATTCGTAAGTTCAAAAGTTGTTCAAAAGTTGAAAAATACAGTCACACGCATGCAAAGATTTTTTTGACTTAAAATCGTTGAAATTATTATCCTGTTATTGAATTTTTATTTTTTTATAAGACCATTTCCAATCCATTTTACTATATTTTTCTTTAAAATAGAGGTATATTTCTCTTTAATTCATCTTTATTTTAGAGGAAAATATAGAGATACCTATTTTTCTTTTATATTTGGAGGAAAAAATAGCATCTCTATTTTTTCTTCTAAAATAGAAGTGAATTGGAGAATAAAAATGACACCTCTATTATTTTTTAAAAAAATAGAAAAAAAAATAGCAATAGTATAGAAATGCTCTAAAAAACATATATTCAGGCCCGGCCCTGAGACCAAGAGAAGCAAGCATGGGCTTGCGGCCCTCTTTTTATATACAAAATTTCGGCTCCTATTTTACAAAATATGTCTTTAGTCTAGTGGTTATTTTAAAGTATCTTTCTAACATTTTTTTCACTAAATAAACCCAGCCCATTTATATTTTTAGCTTGTGGCCCATTAAAAGTCAAGACCGGCTCTGCATATATTCTATGTTCATCATACTAAATTATCATAAGAGACTTCACATACTTATTTCAGTTTAAATTTGTGTTATATTATTTATATTAACTCTGCGATAACCTGGTGTTCAAAGATTTTACATATTTTGTTAATTTTTAAGTTCTATTGTTATATTTGTTATCTTTATGTTGCGGATTCTGAAACTAATAATGATATATAAACAATTATTAGAGAATTGATGTTTTTTTTTTGTTCAAAAAAATGAAACTTATTAGAGAATGATGTCAAAAGGACAACTTTGAGAGAATTTACATATTTGCTATAGAAAAAAATAATGTTAAAAATTAAAACCGTTTATATATATATATAAACATTAACTTAGAAAAAAACATGAAAAATAAAGAAACATCAATAGTAATAACTAAATTGGATGAGGATTAATAGTAAAACGGAGAGAATAGCTGTGTTCCCTTCGACTTGGGAATCACTTTGAGTTAAATTGGGTGTGGAATTGTGGATTAGTTGCCGATCACTGCCGTCAACTTTTGACTAATGTTTAATTTGATTAATACTTTTGCATACATTAAGCAATCTATATTGTAATAGCTAAATTTTTTGTTTGGATCCATCTGAACTAAAATATTGGTGAGTGCGTGGACAATTAACTGCCTCGATAATGACTTCAATCTAGTCCGTAAGGTATAACCTCATTAATTCCCCAAAAATGTAGTTTATCATAATTAATAATATTTACAATCTGATGTGATATGTTACTTCTATGCTACAAGTGCAATGGACCGGCTAACAACTTTGACATGATTTATAATTAAATTAATACATATAAAGAGACTTTATGTCATTACATCATGAGATAAAGCCCTAAATTCCTCAAATTAGTTAAAGTGTCTTCTTTAAAACTAATCACTAAACTTTCTCTAAGTGAATGTAATTAGTGTGGCTTATCTCATGATTACACAAACAATATTTTAGCATTTGGAGTTTCGATTTGTCCTTCTCTCTTCACATTTTGTTTTGTGGTTCTATTCCAAGAGTACTTCTTCGACTAGGAAAATAAAAGTTTTGTCTTAATTGGTTTCTTGAGACCTCGTGGCTCATACAACGGGTGCTAACAAAAAAAAAATCTTCATATTAAAAAGGATAAGAGACATACAAGTCCATTAACTAAAATTTGTACAAGTGTGACTGGTAGAAATTATGGTTCACCAAATGATTATATGACCGATGAAAACCCCACTAACCATTTTGGTTGAGGTGCCAGATCACATACACCGTATAAATTTAAAACTGGTAAATTGATTATTAAAAATTAAAAGTATTGATTGTAAAAACTTATCGTCGACTTTATATAGTGACGAGCATGGTCTGACGGATCCATGAACTATGTAGAGAACGCAACCCTACTCTCTATCCAAACAAACTCAATCCAGCTGCATTTTTTGGTCTAGTGGCATTGCCATCATATCATGTCCGATTGATGATACAATGTACCTACGTAGTATAGTTTTTTATAATATGAAATGATAATATATTTAGAAGCATGCAGTATGAAATAATGGTACGATATACCAGTACAATAATACACTATCTTACTGTACATCTATTTACCATTTCATTTGATGGTTACATAACAGATGGTGTACAATTATACAATTAATGTTACCAATATATAAAAAAACTGATTGCTACTGTACTATTTTGAGGAGGTAAAAATATGTATCAATCTTTTATTCTTATAACATCTATTAAAGTATCAATTAAAATTACAATTGAAGTGGTAGTAGCATCATCACTTCCCACTTTTAAGTATCACTTTATTCCACCAATCAGACTATTTAATTTACTTAAAACAATCTAAATTTTGAAAACCTCGTTTAATTATGGTTTTGAACTATAAAAGGGTCTTGTACATTTGAATTAAGGACGTCAAGTTTATGATAATTGATATTTAACCCATAAAATACATTCGATGGGATTTGTATATATGAAACAAATCGATACTAAACACATCTTTCATATTAACCTTTTTGTTATGAATATATCTTTCATATTATATATATCTTTACCCCTAAATAAATAAAAATTATGGTTACAGTGTAAAAAACTCCGTGGTCGATGAAAACAATTCTTCCATGGTCGAGAAATGTGATTTTTAAAATGTCTCTAGATAATTATTATTCAAGTCATAAAAAATGGAATTGGTCCATAACGGTTCGAGGATCTTTTCTTTGAACCGGAAACAGAAATACGTGATGATGGGACACGTGTTAGGTAGGAACACGATCCGCTCGTGTGTAACAGTTCATGATGTCGTCATTCCACGTCGGTACAAGACTTTTTTCTTTTGTCGTCAGCAGAAGATTTCAAAATTAACGAAACCGTTCCCATAACCGAAACTCATATAAAACAAGACACCATAAATAATTTTTGGGGTACTATTCTGTCTTTTCTGTGGTTTCTAACGTTTCTTTGTATTATGTTTGTATTAGTCTTCTGCTTTTTCGCTGAATTTAATTCCAGGTTCGACTTCAGTTACATTCTTTTTTCCTCCATTTTTTTTATCTATCCGAATTCTTTGGTTTGCATACTCGATCTAATTCACTACAGTTAATAAAACTCAATGATTTGCTCTAAACATAAATTATTGTTTTGTTTTGTCATATCAATATTAGAGTCAGCTGTTACGCATGAAAAAACACTTTTACATTCAAACGTATGACGACCATTCAATTCTAGTATATGAGAAGATATGAGGACCAAATTCAATAAGTTTTTTTTTTTTTAAAGTGTAGTAGCTTCAATGTTTAATCAAATCAGTACATAGTCCATATCATTGAACAATATATAGCCGTCTAACATAGATTTTTTGTCAAAAAAAAAAAAATTCCCTTGTTCTCTAACTGGAGCTGCAACACGAGATATCAAAGTAGGCACATAAATATGATGATAATGATGTTATAAGAAATTATATTCATATGAAAAAAAAATAGTGTATACACATATATTTTCAGTTTGCAACGCCTGTTAATTGTGGGGCACAACATTGTTTGAGTTCACTGGATAAGTAGAAGTGTGGTTGAGTTCACTGAATATCTTGAAGTACTTAACCTAGTTTTTTTAATGAAGTATGTATAGTTGTTGAGATGATCATGATTGATTAATAAATATTTACAGAAAATGAATTATTTGAAACATGCGATATAGATAAATGAATTATTTGAAACATGCGCACATATATATACGTTATGGAGAACAGAAAAACTGAGAAAAGCAATTAATTTCTCTCCCTTTTAAGATCTTTTCTTGCTTTGTGTCCGAAACAGACAAATTTGATTCTGTTGTTTTTTCCCATAATTAACTCACACACACACGTACGTACGTGCACACGTGCAATATATGTATGTGTGTATAGTAGAGCCACACGAGCGGTTCAAAAATGTTTTTGGTGTTTCCGAGACTGTTGAGTCTGTGGGGCCTACAGTCATCGAACCCTCCACACGCACGAGCGGGTCTCGTTTTGCATGCAACAAAACTACACGTACCCACCGACTTTTCCAAAGCCTTACTTTTGCACGTGTAGAGAGAGAGAGAGAGTACTAAAACAAAAACTGTCCCATTGTTCGAAATTTTCAATAAGTAGAAAATTAGTTGCAGCTTGTAGAAAAACGTGAACATAAATCCTTTCTAATTTATTTCCTATATACAAGAACAAAACTAACAAGCAGATTACAAAAATATTGACTAGAAATTTTTATACGTTTTGATATTTTTTATGATCGAATTTTCAAGACCACAAACGACTAGACATATATAGTTTAAACGACAAATCGCATGTAATTTAAATAAAACCACTGAGACAGAATTATTTAAGTCTATAAAAATGATAACTGAAACAAAATTTGATTGCTATGCTATAATAAAATTTCCCTTACACCTTTTTTGGGTGTGTAAATAAAAATAGCCAGCAATTTGTTTTCCATGTACTTTGAATAACAACAACTCATCATCGATTTTAATTAATATTCTTATATTAACTTCAAAATAAATGTCAGTCAAATTCATAAATAATTCAATAGAAAATTACAGAATCTCTCTTTCCCCTTCCACCATATAAACAGTGAAAAGCCATTCAAGTGCTTCTCCCTCTCTCTCTATTTCTATCGCTCTCTCTCCTATTCGTGGTTATTTTTTCTTTAATCCCTAACCCCAGAAACCAAAAAAAAAAAAATGAATCCAAGTCTCCCTGAGAAAGATCTAACAGGTAATGAAACTATCAATGGGTCGAGAAGACTAGAAGAAGCAAACAACTTCGGATCTCCACCAAACTCGCACAACAACTTCTCTCTCGCTAGAAACCATCCTCACAACAAATCAGTCTCACTCTTGGAGTCGGAAGAGGAGCATGAGAAAGAGAGGGTTGAAAAACAAGATATGTTAAAAAGGAGGGGCAAAAATGGAATAAACACAAAAATATGCTCAAGAGGACATTGGAGACCAACAGAAGATGCTAAACTCAAGGAGCTTGTTGCCCAGTTTGGTCCCCAAAACTGGAACTTGATTGCTCACCACCTTCTTGGTAGATCAGGTACATTTATTTACCTAATTATTACCTTTATTCTATCAACAATTTATTATCTTTACTTTTGTTACTCAAGTTTCCGTAAATGTTAATTAAGTTTTTTTAAAAAAAAATTCACGTAGAATAAAAACTAAATATGTTATATAAAAAATATTTGGTATCCAAATTAAATGCCCTGGTTTTTTTTTAACAAATAAGTCTTTTCGCCAACCTTAGTACCTATTTGGACAAAAATAGTTTTAAAACATATAATAAAGGGTTACATTAATGACATACATACGATAGTAACCAATTTCAATTTTTTTTTATAAGGGTAGATAATTAATGTTGCTTCTTTGATTGCAGGCAAGAGTTGTAGATTGAGATGGTTTAACCAACTAGACCCGAGGATTAACAAGAGAACTTTCACTGAGGAAGAAGAGTTTAGGCTTTTAGCTGCTCACCGAGCTTATGGCAACAAGTGGGCTCTGATCTCACGTCTCTTCCCCGGTCGGACCGATAACGCCGTTAAGAACCATTGGCACGTCATCATGGCTCGAAGGACCAGAGAGAGTCAGCGACAACGTCAACAGCCTCATCAGGCACCGTCAGGAAACGCTGAAATGACGGTTTCGTCCTCGTACCGCTGTCATCACGGTGAGTTTTTCAGTAAGGTCGCGAAGGGCAGTTTTGTCAATGATGACGACGACGATGAAGATGGTTCAGCTGTCTCTACATGTACAACGGAGCTCTCTCTCACTCCGCCTTCTTCGACTCACCATCCTCGTTTCTTGAATTACGACAATACCCTTGACTCAGGTAACAATTTATTTGTTTGCTAGTTTTATAATATAATGTTTTCTTGAGACATAAAAAATATAGAAAGTTGGAATGTTTTTTCTCGGCTTTCTTGAGAAGCGTTTTCGTGAATCTAATTATAATGATCTCGGTCGGTTGGTCGAGACCAGAATCAAAAGATAGCAAATTTTACCGGGTGTACCGTTGATCACGATCGGTTTATATTTAATTTTCGACTAAATTAGCTTAATTAGATGATGATCCAGTCTTGTTCAAAGCATATTAAATGATAATTTTGGCATACTTGTTAATTGTTGTATAACTACAATGAGTGACCACTTCCGATGAATTTCATATATCTGGCAATAATTACAAATTTGAATGACAAGAGAGAAAGAAACAGTGTTTTACATCGTAAGAGTACCTATGGGTATAATAATATAAGGAGGGGTGGTACAATGTCACGTTACCATTTCAATACAACAAAATTTCACGTGGGGGCTAAAAACATTATTTTGATAATTTTGCAGGTAAAGATGGTCAGTGTGTGCAGAGGGCAGAAGTAAATGGCAAATATGGTAAAAACATGGACCATCAAAATCACCACACAATCACAGTCAGTGAAAGGAATGTGGAGATGCAGATGAAGAGTGGCTTTTACTTCTTTGATTTTCTTGGAGTGGGAGCTTCTTGATTAATTATTTGAAGAATTAGGGTTCATAACGAGGGAATTGTTGAGATAAAAAATTTGGGTTTAGTTTTCTCTATTTCTCATTGTTAATTTTAGGCAAGTTTGTTTAACATTTTAATTTGGCCTAAAAAACTAAGAGACAAACTAAATAATTTCGTACAAGTCAGTAATCCAGAAATAAACAAAAATTGAATATAATTAACATTCTTTCAAGTAGAAGTAACTAATTCGATATGAAAAAATAAATCTCAATCACTGTTTTCTTTATTAAATAAAAAATCTCAATTACTCAGCTTGGGTCGGGTCGGGTCCATGTGTCCGTTCGATAAATATACCAGCCACGTAGTTTGAGTTGGGCCTATCAATTAAACAGATATAAGAGCCCTTTAAAGCTCACATAGAAGTGGGCGTATAATTCCCATATGACTTCTCTGGGCCAGAAATGTTTTACACATCAGGAAGACGATCCATAATCATACATATATCAGTTCCTTGCTCTAATAGGACAAGCCCTCATCTCCAGAAACTCAACTTTCCTTGCTCTAATAGGACAAGCCCTCATCTCCAGAAACTCAACTTTCCTTGCTCTAATAGGACAAGCCCTCATCTCCAGAAACTCAACTTTGGTTCACAAATATTCAACGTTAGAACATACACTTTCAGACTTCAGGCTCTGTTCTTTTTTTTTTTTTCTTTCAATTTTAGTATTGGTGAATAAATCTATCCTCTCAACAGATGAAAAATGAACTTGATTGTTGTTGAAAGTTGCCAAATCTAAATGACATATTTTCCACAAGTTACATCTCCAAATGAGATGTTGCTTGTTTTGTTTATTAAGGTTTGTGTTCAGGCAAGCACGAATCGACAAGAAAACAAGATATCTGACGACTCATTTCAGCAATATTTAATCTAATTATACACGATAGACATAAAATCAATAGAAGTAAAAAATAATTTGACCGTATATGTTGCAACACAAGATAGCTAGCCAGTTCATGTCTGTCTCGGTACCTGTCGAAGATCAGTTTTTTAAAAAGTTAATTAAATAATTAGAGCATTCTACTTATACTTGCGTAAATTAATTAGTTGATGATATAACATTGACAAAATGGTTATAAAATGTTGACACCGTCTATTTATTTGACCAAGAGAGTGTATAAATTCCCAAGGTCTCTTTTGCCAATGAACTCACTAAAATACTCAAAAAGTCGGAATTTATTGGTTCTCGTGTTCTTGGCTATAGTGTTAAACTTTTAGAAATAAAATATATACGAAAAAAATTACTGAGCTACTTTTGAAACTGAATAGTAAAAATTACATGTTTACAAAAAGAACTTTAACTCGATTTTTTATTTATGTATTCATATATTACACATATAAGAGCTGACATCAATCTGTAGCTTAGTTAAATCACAAAACTTCAGTTACATATTAAATTAGTTTCTACAAAAAAATATATTCCATTTATTACATAAACCGACATCCATCAAATTGATACATATCTTATTATATTTTCTGCAATAATGTTTTCAAGTGAAATGGGTTTGAGATTTAACTTCTGCAGACATTGAGAACTTCCAGAGTTAGGTTTCAGTCCATTTTCTTCAAATTATCTCACAATTTATAGGAAAAACACGTTATACATTACTAAGAAGAAAACTATATGGAATAGACAAATGGTAAAACAAAATTCGAGAAAACAAAATCGAAAGGTCTGAAAATCACTTATGAATATACTCATGAGCACTTTATTAAGAGTGTATACAATAATAATAAAGGAGTGAGTTAAATTTAATTACCAGGAAATAAGCTTCGCCATGTTGTAAAGAATGCATCAAGAAACCGAACTCATCAGTGGGAAGAGGAAGACCAGAGGAATGAAGCAACACCAAATCTTCACCGAACATTGCTTTCATGTCTATTGCTCCTTTTGTTACTTCCGTCGGAACTCCATTTATGAACACCGTCATTAGCCCTTTTACTTGAAGAGATTAAAGAGAAACTTTTATTTTTTTTAAAAAAGAAATAGCTCTCAAAATACATGATACTAGCCTAACATAAAATCTGGTCTAATACCCACTTAAAAAATAATCTGGTCTTTATTGTTCACTTTCAAAAACTTAATTTGTAAGAACATGAGGCATCCAAACATTGGTAATTAAACTATGGTTTTAGCGGAAATAATTCTCTTCCCTACTAAAAAACTTAAAACCAAAAACTTTGCGGATGAGCCATGCAAATGAATAAATCACCTTCTTGGTAGTGGAAATTGGACTTTTGGTCAGATGGGCTGTGTTGATGATGATGATCAGACTCATGGCCATACATTGTGAAGAGATTATTCTCCATGCCATTGTTGCTTTCGCACCCACCACTCGAAGAAGAAGAAGATGGGGGGCTGAGAAGAAAGGAAGAGGCTTGAGATAAGGAGTCATTAAAGAAGTAATTAGGTGATGAGTTGCTACAACTTCCAAATCCCAAATCACTCTCGCTGTTGCTGTAAGGATGATGCATGCTCATGGTCGTCATATGCTGGTAGTCTTCAGCTCCTTTGGTGGTGGCGGCTGCAGCGGTGGCGGCTTGAAGCTGCCGCTGTCTCCGGCGAGATCTTGACCGTCGATTTTGAAACCAGTAGAAGACGTTTGCGTCTCCCACTGCACCGAATTTCTCCAGCATCTTTCTTATCCTCACCGTCTCGTCTTTTGGTGGGTTAACAATACCACTGTTGAAGATGGATTCGAGTATTAAGATTTGCTCCGGTTTAGGTGACCAACGTGATCGGACCGGTTCGGTAGAATTAGAAGGGACGGAGGAAGAAAGGCCCCCATGCCCGGTAGGGCTTTGTGATGATCCTTCTTGATCCATTTACTATCAAGCTTGCTAGATTCTTTTTTTTTTGCTTTTCTTGTTTTTATTGGATTATGTATATATTAAGAAAAAGAAGGAGATTTTGTGGTGACTTGAGGGAAGTTCTGCTGTGTCATGAATTTAAAGGAGAGAGAGTTCCTCAGTATATTGTTTTCTTTTTTTTTTACTTAAACATTAAGTTACATTTTGGTAGTGCTCTCACTTAAATTTAAATATTGTATATATAGGTACGGTCTAATATGTTAACACGTATTCCCGAGAGCGGAAGAACTATAAATTTTGGGGTTGCATATCATATACATATATAGACTATAGTTGATATAACCAGTGATATAAACCGGGGTTGTATATCATATGATGAGGATGGCATATTGAAGCAAGTCATGTATAACTCTAGGAAAATAGTAGTGTGACAAATTAGTAGACCTAAACCAGAAAGTATATCATACGATGAGGATGGCATATTAGAGCAAGTCATGTATAATTCTAGGAAAATAGTAGTGTGACAAATTAATTAGTAGACCTAAACCAGAAAGTATACAAGTGGTAAAACACCGGTTATGATTGTTCTGCTTTCTGCTGTATACGTATGATCCAAAGGTATTTTTTTTTATCAGTTATTAATAAATTTATTAAATAGCTAATAATTTTTCCAAACCTCAACCTGGTTGCTTTTAGATTATATGTAAATGTAGAATAAAGATTATCATGACGTCATGCAACAGAGGCCAAAAAGATTTTGTTTGTCAAGTAGAACTTGTCTTTGATTGAGATATCGATTGATGAGACAGGTTTTTTTAACACCTCACGCACATATTACATATATAACAAGTTAACAACATTAGCCGATCAAAACTTTATATAGATTATAGTCATTTTTAATATATAATTCGAAAATGCCGAATAAAATAATTTATTTAGTTTGTTTTAAAGTTTTGATTATGGTATATGTCGGATTTGAAAATTAAATAGTTAATCTCGATCACTAGTTATTTTACAAACGATTTTTAAATAAAAAAATAAGCATTTGATAGTGTAATAAATGGTTCATATCCTTCTTATAATACTAAACAGTAAAAATTATATGTTTGCGTACTCCAAAAAAATATTACAGTACAGATCATAACTTCAATAAAACAAATATAATAACTCATGCGAGTAATTATGTACATATGTTTGTAAATCATGCATAGGATAGATTTTACCTATTTTATGAATATTTAACTATTAAGTGTTATATAGTTGATCGAGAATGTTGTAAACTAATAATAAAAATGACAAGAAAAAGATACGTAGGATTTTGTTTCACCTCTGAAATTAGTTTTCCAAGGTTACGTTTTCCTAGTATGAATCTAACCACTGACTTTTTTTAGTATTTTCTTTTTGATAACACAATTGGTCACTTATTAAAGAATATCCACGAGAATTACTTATTAGATCAAGGTGGTAACAACAATCAATATCTATTAGTCCATTGGATTTTAGAATTTATATCCTCTCCATTAAACATTTTTTTTTGAACAAGTCCTCTCGATTAAACATGAATCTTATTTATCCACGAATCTTTTGTTGTTTAACATAATAAATACTAATCTTGTTATATGGTCGAATAGAACCAAACCTTATTCGATGGTCCGTCAGAGGGTTTACTATACATGTGTATCAGTCTCCACGAAGTTTTTCAATTATAAAATCTAGAACTCGAATAAAGAAGAACAAACACAGTTATCATTTACGTAAGTTTGTGTTCACACAAATCAACTCTAAGAAATATTTTGGTAAAATGATATAGTCAAAACTCAAAATCTTACATTTATCCAATTCGATCACATCAATAAAACACCGTACATATAACTTTTGATTTTAATAAAGTTGTCCGTCTACCGTATGCGTATGTCTCGGTAAGTGTGCATGTACGTATATGAATATAATATACGTTAAAAGTTAAGAGTGTTGAAAGATACAATCGGCGACAATCTGTTTATTTCAGACTCCTTCTGGTTTTTGACGATCTACGTTACTTTCTTAGCTGTTTCATCTCAAATTACTATATACAATTCCAGTTTTCTCTGTACTTTTTCTTGCTTTTCACATGGCCACCCCTTAGAGTTATAACCGATCGAGTTATATATATTGTTTTTTTTTTCTTTTTCGAATTCCCTATTTTAAAATTTATAGTGATTTGACCTAGAAAAAATCAATTTAGCGAGACTTGATCTCTGAGGAAATTTGTATATATGGTAAATGTGAATAGCGATATAAGAATGTGGGCATACGGATGCTATATATATAGACGTGTGAAAATAGGTTAACGATAACTTTTTTTGTCCATTTGACTACAAATTTATATATAGAAGTAGAACCAACCAAATGCTGGCCTGTCCCCTAGCTATATAATTATTAAACTTATACAGAACCAACCTACAAACATTTAATTGGAGAGATCCGATGATGACATTTTTGTCATGGCTAGTGAACTCTGTAACAAAAACCTATCTAGTGTCTTCATGATGACTTCAAATGTTTAGACACTACCCCGCGTCAAGTGGAAAGAGGAGAGATCAGAAGAGATTCACGCAATAGAACCACTAAGAAGATTTTTTATTTATTTTGAAGTATTTTATCCACATGACAAGAACTGAGTTATGGATACCTAATATTATATATAAGAAATGGAATTTATCGCAACACATGAAGTACAAGTTTTTAAAAAGAAAAAAACACATGTAGTAAAAGTAATATTGGATCTAAGAACCCTAACGAATATGAAAATAAATGTTTTTGACATAAAGTTTGACGAAAGATTTTCTGGATGAGATATATGGATATCTAAACTTAAAAAAATTCAATATATATGTATCTGTATATACGTATTCGTCAATTCTCGTACTCAAATTTAGTCTTCAAAACCTTAACGGGTCAAATCGGATAACTTATAACTGGAATTCCCTTTTATATTTATTATATTACACTTTAGATTTTTTTTTTTTTTAATAAAGACTTTAGAATTCATGCACGTCAGGAAACAGCCAAACTACTACTAGAAGGAGTGAAGTAATCCCCCCGTGACTTGTTAAATAAAAGGAATCCCAACATCTACATAACTTGCGTCTGCTGTACAGCTTTTTTTTCTTACATCATAGTATATCTTTAAAATGTCATGATTGTGCAATTTTATTTATTGCCGACTGTGACTGAGTTGATACAACTGGGTATAACTTGTCTTTTATAACTTCCCCCAGCTGTTTGTCCTTTTTTCGTGAAACGGAAATTGATTTTCTAATAAATTGGTAGAAAAACAAATACCTACTATTATTAGAGATTTTAAAACATGTTATTTAATTAAAAACATACACTAGAGATTTTTAACAATTTAGTATGTCCGCACCTAGACATTATTTGTCTTTTATTACTTCCCGACTAGAATTATCACTGATTTCCACCAGATTCAAATCTACATAATGCATATTCTTAATTAAAAAAAAAATCTAAAAATTGGTATGTTAAGACATATAACTTATTTATGGACATGAATGAAAACACTTCAACTTAACTGTGACATGATATATCGCTTTTGAAAAATATATATACCATTTATCATACTTTTTTTTTTTGCTTTTCAAAAAATGGTACTATCTTCACCAAACTATATATGAATACTACTAAGTACTAAAAGCCCACTCAGATACATAATCTCAGAACCAAAATAAGATGATGTATTTAACAAAGTATCTAATATGTACGTGATATTAATATGAAATTTTAGACACAAAAGTCAAGCCAAACTACATTTGTGTTATTGTGTACTATAGCAAATTTTGTTTCTTTTGGAGGACCAGATCAATGGGTTTATGTTTTTTTCTAAACCGATCGAATAGATAATGAACGTGTCATTCGTCCCGCTAACCAAGATACCATTTACATAATTATTTTTTTAAAAATACGATCTCTAACCACATCCAATATCAAAAACCACAATCCTCAAGTTGCTTTTTAGACGCTGGAGCCTTAAAGTAAAACTCAATATATACATGATTCATTGATGCACATTCAAAGTCTTTGTTTAGGATGTATTATTATAATAACTAGAAGTCGTTAGATGTCTTAATGTAAAATATAGAGAGCTCTAGAGTTAATATATGCGTAAATACGTCATGCAGCATTGGAAAATCTAATGAAAAAAAAAAAACATTGACATTGGTAAAAAGTCTTAAAGGGAGTATAAAGTAGACCTCTAGGGATCCGGCAGAGACTGTACGAGGATTCATAAAAATGATCCTTAAGCCACCCTCTCTGTGGTCCTGAAGACCAAAATCTTGTAAGAGTTACGCTTGAGACTTCTTTCTTCTGAAATCTTCCTTATGTGGTCCTGCTCTGTAACAATGTACGGACTCTAATATCTTTGATCTTTATATACACATAGACCTGCACGATTTTAATATATTCCCAACACACACACACATATATATATATATATATATATATAAAGATTTTTTTATCAATTAGTGCAATTATGTATATAGAAAATTGTGACTCTGGTCCTTAAAAATGTTAAGGATTTTTTTTATTTATTTATTACGATGCGTTTTATTTTAAATTCTTTATCCAACATATTGTTTTACTGCATTTGTTCAATCCACTACTATATATCATATAGTTTTTCGAGGTAATTGCTTTCTAGCATTTTAAACAGTTGTTATTTACAAGAAATCGTATGTTGTGTTTTCTTCTTTTCTTGGTTGAGTTATGCTAAAAAAAAGTGCATTTATGTTTTACCAATATTGGAAACTTCCTTAATATGCTTGGTCATTTATGTATCATTCTGTTGCATAAGAGTATTAGAGCATTGTATCTATACTGATCTATATACACATATTTGATTCCTTGAAAAGATTTGTATTGTGAGCTAGTTTACAAATAATAAGAGCTGACGCATATGAAGTAAGTTGAGCTTTGGTGATTTGGCCGGTGAATCTGCAGATCACTCATGGGGACACTAAAAAACTAGAAAAAAGACAAAAAAATATAGAGGGGAAAGAGAGAACACAAATATTATAATCAATCTTATATTATATATATTTTTGATAGGCATGCATCCTGTTAAAACGGATGACGGTATCTGTGGTAACCCAAC